TTGAATGGGGATGGATGGATGAGGAGGGAACCTGGCTTTTTTTTTTTTTTTTTTTTTTGTGGGTTTTTGGGTGTCAGCCTCTCTTGCTGAAGCTTTAACAGCAAGGTCACTTTGTGGGGATGTTCTAGGGATTTTGGGCCTTTTTCTTGACAACAAGCAATTTGGGAGGTGTCAGCAAAGAAAACAGAGGAACCGAGATTATCCTTTTATTTATCTGGTGGCAGGTGTCTCTTCACTGGAGGTAATTAGGTGCAGTGTAGGTAAACAGTTTGATAGTGTAATAAAATTAGCTCTGATAATGTGAGAGATAAGAGGAGGGCATCTTTACAGTTTTTTTGGACCTAAAAAGAAACCCCTGTATAACACTGTGGTGTTTTCAATGGACTGAAAATACTTGATTTAAGTCCGAAGTATTTATAAAAAACTTTCTGACAGATTTGCATTCACACTTTTGTAATTACCTAAAAGGTTGGACCTGTGTTGTATATTGGTATTACTACGCAAATATTACACTGTCATGAAGAAAAAAGAGAATCAAACTGAGAAGTACCGATATTTTCTATTTTCTGGTATTGTCTGATATCCAACACCATCTTTCAAGATAGCACACACTTCTTTAAGTATTGTAGATTAAGTGAAGTACCTGGTTGCACCACCAGGTGGAGCCTTTTACTGTTTACTGTTCTAACGACCAGAGAAGATGGAGATTGTGGGACTAGAAAACAGGCACCATGACAACATCTTCACTGAGGTTTAATGACCCCTGGCCAGCTCATAAGTGTTAAATCAAGCTGGGATAATCGAGGACAATGTTCTTATGACCCAGTGGCACATAGAACAGCCATTTTTGTGGCTTCTTTCACATACTAATGTGAAAAAGAATCAGGCTTAGCCGTCTGCCAATACTGATCAGTTAAAAATTGCAGCAACAGGTTTGGGACATAACTAGAATCAAAGCAGTGTGGTATTTTTCCATATTTAGCTGTAGTATTTATTCCTTCCACAGTCGTATGTCCCTGCAGTGACCCTGTTCTGTTTGACCAAAGGTTCTCTGCACAACTTTCAGTAGCAGAGGAGAGGCTCCAAACTGCATAACGACTGTCAAATGGAGCTCCAATGAAACAAGTGCACATAAATTAGGTAATTAACATAAATAAAACACTTTCTTTATACAATCTTTGTTTTTTTTTAAGGCTTGGTGCCTTAAAACGCTGAACTGCACTTTTACTTTTTCCAAACAATTTCCCTTGTGGATCAATAAAGTTTATCTAAGTCTAAGTGGGATGTGGGAGGGCACTCTCTGTCTTTTTACAGTCATAAGAAGGGTCAACAGTTTCAACGGAAGGGACTCACGTGCACTAACCTCCATGTGCTGACAGAACTGTTGCCAAAACGTAGAATAGAGAAGCTATGATTACAGCACATATAAAGCGTGACTTCATGATGCCACTACAGCTTGAAACAGCAAAGAGTTATTTGCTGCTATATTAATGCTATATTTGTATTCAAAATCTAGCTTATTGCATCTTTAGAGCTGCGAAGCATTATATAATTTAAAAATACATTAGAGTTAACTGTCAAAATATTCCAGTTTATTTCAACACAAGGAAAAACTATCATCACCTGTTAGTTTAGTTTGTCATATATTATGAAACACCCCAGCAGTCAGTGCTGTTATGACATGTTAGAACACCATCCACTGGGGCTGCACGACTGTAGCCAAATGGTAATCATCATTATTATGATCACTGTTGAGATCATAGTTATTTCTAACAATTATTCACTGGTTTTAGTGACAAAATGTTTTTATTGCACATTCACGTGTAAATAAACAGAGGGCTTCTTTTTTTTTTCTTCAGCCTTCATGCTGTGCTGCCTTCCTGCTATTGAACAAATATGTACATAAAATAAGACTTAAAAAAAATCTTAGCCAGAATTTAGTGAATCTCCTGAACATCTGCATATCAATGGACACTGCAGTTTACTGATGTTCCTAAAACGCTTTACGCGCATGCTACAGGAGAAGCTAGCTGGACGGTCTTATCTACATGGACTGTAATCAATGAACAATGAGTGTTTTACGTCGATATCACAGTCGATCTATTAATCTAACTGTGGGAAGTCGATATTGTGATCACAAGTCATCCACAGAACTGAACATCTCATCAGTCATTCCTTGTTAAACAGCCTAAAAGTTTAAAGTAGACAGCACTTAAGAAATGAAGTTGGGTCAGCTTTGGTTCACTTCTATTGTCCAGAGTTGTTCAACATTATTTCCAGTCATTTTTCATTTGTAAAGCATGAACAGATTTGACTCCCACATGCATCACATCCATATGCAAATACAGATCAGTGTATCAAGCTTTGAAATGTGCGACTGAAGTGCGGTGAGTGGTTGAAGTGGATCTTCAGCATGGTTTGCTTTATTTTAATGTTGCTCAGACAGAAGACTGTCTCATTGTATAAAGAAGCCTAAGAAATCCAATGAAACTGTACTCCAGTTAATTAAAAGAAGGCTGCCTGGAGGTTTTGAAGTCATACATAAAGCATTCATGCTAATAACCTTGATTTGAAAAATTCTAATTCAGGGAGTCATCAGCTGGACATTAAAAACTCATGTGTAAATTCTGAAATCCTTCCACAACTTAAGGCAACAAATGAACACAACTTCCTCACTTTACATCTGATCATGAACAATTTAACATTGTAAGTTGCAAGGAGGGCTGCAAGGTGGCTCGGTGGTAAGCACCGTTGCCTCGCAGCAAGAAGGCTGCGGTGGGGGCACCGGAATCTTTCTGCGTGGAGTTTGCATGTTCTCCCTGTGTAGCGTGGATTCTCTCCGGGTTCTCCGGCTTCCTCCCACACAGTCCAAAAACATGTTGAGGTTAGCTGGTGATTCTAAATTGTCCGTAGGTGTGAATGTGAGTGTGCTTGGTTGTCTGTCTCTAAGTGTAGCCCTGTGATAGACTGGTGACCTGTCCAGGGTGTGTATAGATAAGGGATGGATGGATGGAAGATGCAAGGACTCAGTCAAAGATCAGCTTTGCTTGTTGCCACTACTAAAGGATTGTTCCCTCTTTTTTTTTTTTTTCCTTGTTAACATGTCCCTATGTTGTCTTTATGTGCTAAAAGACACATCAGGACCAAAATAAGCTTAGTGGTTCCACGGTGAAACTGCCTTGTATCGATGATAGTCTCACCTTTTAGGATGGAGCGGTCACACATGCTTTCTCTTGCACACTAGTAGAAAAAAAAAAAGTGTTGGCATGCTTACGTGGCTAATGTGGCTAACATTATCATTAGCTTTCATATTATGCCCATGGGTCAGAGCTCTGTGGAATTCTGAGGAACAGTCAAAGACGGTGGGAACTTTAAGATTTGAAATCGATAAACCAGTGTTTTACTTAAACTCAGCTGGCATTAGCCCTTCATATCCGTTTGCTTTTCTTCTGGTCTGTGCTCACATATCCTGCATTTTAGTATTTTCAGTCTAAAACTCAGGACCACCAAACTGCCAATTTTGCAACCTCAACACATAAGTTAAAAACAGCAGCTGTGTTGGGAATTCAGGGACATTTCCATGTAAAATGATCGCTCAGACATAAAGTTGCAATCGATATAGTTAAGATAAGTTATTCTCACACATTCATGTCTCAGTCGGCTGTCATGGGGTCATCTGTTTTGCTCCAAGCTGCCAGTTACAGACACGGCGAGAATCTTCTTCCTGAATCGGACGTGGACAGCCGCGGCTGTATTTAAATCTACCACCTACAAACTCTGAAAGAGCCTTTAGAAAAGTTATAAAGTCATGGTAAAATGCGCCATCTTTGCAGTATTTTGAGCTGACAAATTGAACGACACATTATGGGTACAAGTGAGAGTTTCATTAATTTGCTGAAAAGGAGCCAAATATGGGACCTTTAAGCTTGATGAGTGGATGTTTCTCATTGCAACGCTCATCTTGTACTTATGAATCACCTGGGAGAATTTCATGTTAATCCAGCAAGAACAGGCCATCGTATAACATTGTTAATGGATAAAATAATTGGACCTTTACTGCAGGGGCCTTGATCACTCAGTATAACCCTTCACACTTGAACACTCTATTGATTCTGGCCATCAAGGACCACTCTAGATGATTTCATTCTGCACTGGAATTGGTGCTACTTTTTTTTTTTTCATTAGACTGTTTTATCATTTAATTGTGAACCAGCTAACTAATTAACCAGTCAGAGTATGTGCTCAACCGGGCTATAGCTAACCAACTGTTATTGTTTGATGAGACAGTGCTGCATGCAGGTGAAAAACTGCAAGTCAGTCAATCCAGTCTGTCGGAAATTACTTAGTAATTAGTGTGCGTGTGAATATGTGGTTGTGTGTTTGTGCTCACGAGCCTGCTGGTGTGTGTGTGTGTGTGTGTTTGCTCTGAGTCCTGTTGAGAGATAAATGAGTCTGGTTGACATTGTCTGGAACAGGTGGTGGAGTCAGCAGGGAAGACATACAGACAACTCTCATGCACACACACACACACACACAGATAAATGAGTCTGGTTGACATTGTCTGGAACAGGTGGTGGAGTCAGCAGGGAAGACATACAGACAACTCTCATGCACACACACACACACACATACGCTGGCACTCCCAATTTGACTTCAGTGCCGATATTCTGCCTTGTTTGAGAGTGCAGCCGGTTTGATTGGATGAAGGAGGAACAATAGGTTGCCTTTGAGTTGCCCCCATATTGAGTGGCTGATGTATTGATTACGGAGGCTGAGAACCCACATTAATCATTCACAGCATGTTTGATTGACTGATTTATTTTCTTTTTATGAACATTGTACGCTATTCATTTGCCTCTGTGTGAACCACTCAGTGTGTTAAAGGAACAATTCACCTTAAAATACCTCTTTGTATGCAGGAGCTCCGATGTCACTTGCATATATAAAGGACACTTAAGCTATAGTGTGCTGATAACTTGTATTCGTGTGTGTGTTTCCAGGTGAGCGTAGTGCAGGACTCTGTGAACATCTCAGGCCAGAACACGATGAACATGGTGAAGGTTCCTGACTGCAGGTTGGCTGAGGAGCTTGGAGATCTGTGGGAGAGCTCCAGATTCACTGACTGCTCCCTGTGTGTCGCTGGCCAGAAATTCCAGGCGCACAAAGCCATACTAGCAGGTGAGAACATCCTTCGTCACATCTGGAAAAAGTGATGGATACAGTCTCATATTTAGCATTCAGGTGCTTTAGCCCACCTGGAAAGGCATGTTATGTTTTTAAAAAATGATAAATTCACACTATTTATGAGCTAGAAGCTGTAAAAACAGTAGCTATAGTGATATTTTTAAAGGTCCTTGAGCTTATCATCTGTTATGAGTTGTTCTGTCAAGAAACAAGTCTAAACCTAACATCCTGACATTTCATCCAAATCTCTTCTTTCTTCGTGTCTTCTTAAAAAAAAACATTTTTATTAACCAGACTCTGTAAAAAAATAAGTTCTGTTCATAACAGTAAAGCCAGTAATAACTCAGCTGCAACCAAAAGTCACATGATGAAGATTCAGGGACTTTTTAGCCAGACTGCAGACATTTTTTTTCTTAGATTGTGACCATATTAGCTTCTATTAGGATGAAGCCAAATGAAATTTCGTTGTATTTTTTTCACAATGACAATGAAGCTTCTTCTTCTTCTTCTTACAAGTACGGAAACAAGTGAATTATTTGTATGTAAAGCCTCCATTTTCCCCAGTATCACTCACACCTGTGTACTTGGGAAATTGTTTTACATCTTTATTCTAAGTTTATTCATTTTGTTGGAAAATAACCACAAACATGTAAGCTTTTGCTTTATTCTTTTTTAATAACTTATAGCTTCAAGACACTTCTGATTCCTCTCTTCCTTTAGTCATGGTTGTGCTGTTTCATTAGAGGCAGGACTTTATATTGCAGTGAAAAATGAGCACACAGTGAGGAAAAATGTGATACACAGTCACAGCTTGGAGTTTAGAGGGTTAAAGATTTTCCTCACTCAAATCATTTTGTGATCACTATTGTTGCAGAATCATTTTCTGTACATTTTAATGTCTCCTTTGCATGATAGAAGACACATAATGACTGAAAAAAAGGCATTATCACAAGAGTGGTGCCCTGTAAATAGAGCAAAAGCAACACCTCGTTCCTGTATACGGATGTAAGTCAATTGTAAATCCATGCATTCGCACAGAAACCTCTGGGATCTCCCTATTGGCAAAACTCCTCCTTTCATTTTTTCCTGAAAAATGTAAACTTTTGTGGTGGATCCTGGAGAGACATCGCTGTGTTTGGAAAAACAACCAAGCTAACTGGCTATTCAGTTGCTTTACTGTGTAAATGCATAATTAAAAAGAAAGACATCCTCGCTGTAGAGAGTGCATGTCACAGTAATGCTTCACAGGCATACTCCATTAAACTTAATAGTTAAATACAGATCAAATTTGCCTCTTTCCTATGGCTGAAGTGAAGTTTGCGTCTCTCTGTAAAAAATGCCTTTCCTTGCATTGAACTCTTTAGCCTGTATATTATAAATGATCGAAGTCATTTTTAACTGATCATGATCAGCACAATCCAAAGCATGATCCGTTTTCTTTTTTTTACGTCCACTGTCTCACAGGTGTTGGAAGATTGAGGTTGAACCTTTTTTTTCCAAATAAAAGCATCAATTATTTATTCATTTTTAATACAAATTAAGCCCACTGGACATAGTTCGTCAGATATTGCCATTTTAAACTTCCAACACATGATTAGGGCTGCAAAGAGGGTCATTGCTGTGATGTCGGAGCACTAATGTTTTTCTGCCTGAAAAAATGGACCTCCTCTGGTTGCTACAGTATTAAACAGTAACAGCCTCCACATTACAGCTAATCTACACTACTTGAAGTGTATATTATCCAGGAGAATGGCATTAGTTTTATTAAATGACTCCAATTGGATAAAGGGCAAAAAAAGTTACAATTCCTACAGTATGAACAACATTATGGACACCAAACAAAAATGTGTGGATATAAAGTATAAAAAACTACATTTCAAAAGAAAAATATTCAAAGAAAAACTTGTATATATCTAATAAAAGTTTTAGAATTAACACATAGTGGATGCTTGTGATGAGAGCTGTGCAGTGATTCAGTGTAAGTTACTATACTTTTAAACACAGTGGAGTTTATGTTATTACTCATCATGAAGTTTGTCATTATTCTTATTTTTTCGGTTACAGAGGCTTTTCCGCTGTGACAAAAATTTAATTGCAGAGGAAATACTTCATCAATTTTACAATTTTAATGAATAATTTTGCTTTGCCACAGGGATGGTTAAATTTGAATACATTGAATATCCACACGATTGACACTTGTGTGTCTTCATTGGCCTTCAGGAATCCATGAGTGATGAAAACACAGTTACTCTGACGCTCATGCAAACAAACGTGAACTTGTTTCAGATATTGGCACTTTGATGACAGCCAGCATGAGATAGTGAAAAGTTTGAGGAAACTGGTGAACTGTGAGTCTCTGCGGAGACGAGGGGAGGCTGTTCATTATTGGATTTGTTGAAATGTGTGTGTGAGGAGCCATTTTAATTACGTGCTGCTGTGGTTTGGGGTCTTCCCCTCTCACTCTCACTCTCGCGCTTTCTCTCTGCTCTACTTGGTCCAGATGACGTCCCTCCTCCTCGTTATTCCCCCTCTTGGCCGTTCCCGTGACAACTCTCCCGGCCGTTAATCGCCGTGGAGACGGACAGAGAGGGATCAAACGAAGGAGGGAGAGCAACTCAAATTGGCTCCATACTGACCATGTGATCTTTATATTTCTGTATCTCTCATACCTTTTCCCAGCATCCCTCCTTTCTTTTCCACCTTCGTGTTTTCTCTTTTCATTTTTTCACCCCATTCTCTTGCCTCTCTCGTTCTCCCTTCTCTTTACTTGAGTTCTCTCCCCCATACCCTCATGCTGTTTGTCTTCTTGTCTATCTTCACTTTTTTGTTTTTTTCCTCTCAAATGCAGCTTAGTTCCTTTTTCTCCCCACATCTGTTTACTTTTCTCTCTGCTCTCCATCCTTTCCTTGCTATAACCCCTCTTCCCCACTCTTTCCCTCTCTGTCTCTCTTGCCCACCCTTTCCCTTTGTTGCTGCAGTATGAGCTCACCAGTATTCGGCTGCACCAGACAGACTTAAGTGTAGGTTTGTCCCCAGAGTCCTACCTGGACTGTCGGTGCTAAGTTTGGTTTCACAGCAAATATTTAGGATGCAGTGTGTTTCTATGCTGAGACGCTGAACGTTCACATTCTCAGCAAACATGTTTCCACTGGGGGTTGGACTCCCCTTGTCTATGATCTCTTTTGTGATATTCGTGGTCAGGATCTCAAGTTGCACTCAGGGTGAAGGGGGTGTCTGGTTTAGGTACCTCAGAGTGACATCTCTGCTTTTTGCAGATGATGTGGTTCTGTTGTCTTCATCACACTATGACCTTGCACTGAGGTGGTTTAGCCAGCGTGAGAGTCGGCACCTCCAAGTCCGAGGCCTTGGTTCTCTGCTGGAAAACGGTTGTGCGTGAGTTGCTGCCCCAAGTGAAGAAGTATCTCAGGACCTTGTTCAAGAATGACAAGAAAATAAGAAAAAAAAGATAAGCAATATTAATGCCGACATTGCACTGGACCAGTTTGGTGAAGAGAGGGTTGAGCAAGAAGTGTAAGTTCTCCATTTAGCAGTCGATCTATGCTCCACCCTTCATCTGCAGTCATGATCTCTGGGTAGTGACAGAAAGAATGAGATTGGGAGACTGAAATGAGTGTCCTTCATAAGGTGGCTGGTCTTAGCCTGAGAGATAGGGTAAGGAGCTTGGAGTAGAGTCGCTGCTCCTTTGTGTCCAAAGGTGAGGTGGTTTGGGCATCTGATTAGGGTTCTTTTTGGATGCCTTACTTTGGGAACATCCAACTTGAATGAGACCTGGACGTAGATCCAGAACTCACTGGAGGGATTATATACGTCATCTGGCCTGGGAACCCATTGGGATTCCCAAGGAGGAACTGGAAAATATTGCTGGGAAGAAGGATGCCTACAATGACAAGCAGAAGAAGATGGATGGATGGATGGATGGATGGATGGATGGATGGATGGATGGATGGATGTGTTTCTTTTAGATCAAGTCATAAATGAATAACAACAGAAAATGTTTTCTGACTTTACCTGAGAAAATAATTTGCCTTGTCATTGTGTCCCTGTTCGTGATGCTTTCTTCACCATGTTCTCCAATTAAAAATAAATGCCACAAACCAAGAGGCTACTGCCAGTCTAGCTGCTGTTAACTTAGTACAACGTGGATGAATTCTCACAAACCTCAAGCCTTTAGTCTTCTCTTAAGTTGATTAAAACATCATTAAGCATCCTTGGTACGGTCGTCTCTACGAAATTTACTCCTCAAAAAACTGGAGTTATCTAGCAAACTGTCCTTGTAAGCCAAACTAACAAAGATCCTGGGCTGACCAAGAACATTATTCTGACCCAGAGCCACAATGTGTCTTAAACACACTTGTGTAAATACTAGAGACACTGCTGGTGGCTTTTTGTTATCTGTTGAGTTAATTTAAGTTACTACCACAGCAACAAAACTGTACAGGTTCTGACCTACTCACCTGTGTCCCATTGTTAACTTAGTCGTTCATTTGTGGCTCACTCCCACATTTAACTTTTCTTGTCAGTATTACACTTATTTGTGGCCTCAGCAGGGTTGATGGATGATGCTGTGTTTCCAAATGAGTAATTAAATGGGTAGCTAGCTGCAAGTTAATAACTCATTATTAAGTACTTAAATTAATTAACATATCACTGACTTTGACACATACTTAATAATGCGTTAAAACATTTGTTAAATTTTAATCACTAGTTAATTAAGCATTCATTAGTGAATGGTAATGTGAAGTGTTGCCCTGTGAGCACATAATCAAAAAAAAGTGAACCATATCAAAAAAGGGTTATCGTTTTTGAAATGCGATTCTTAGTAAAAGGCCAAGTTCTAACCCTTGTATAGACACATTCTCCCTCGACTGGTAAACAGCTGACTGATACTTGAGTTCAGGCTGAGCTCCATCTATGAGGTTCAGCTTTTGCTCGTGCCGAAACGAACTGCTGTCACGGCCGGGATGATAAGAGAGGAAATCATGGTGTTGTTGCCTTAAGCAGCACTACAGAGGCGAGATGTGGTGATTATTTTGCAGAATTATTATACAGTAGTGATTTCAAGTAGCAGAAGTGGGACTGATTTGTGTAATTTGAAGCTCCATGGTTGGATCCGACAGTCAGTGTGGCCTGTCTGCACTGGAGATTAAACATAACCTCTCCAGCTGGGGTCACATCTGGGACAATAAGAAAGAAAACACTCTCTGATTGGCTTTCAGCACAATGCAATAAGTTACTGGTTACCTCACCCATCCAGGGATTAAAGATACAAAAGTAATAAAATCATTAACCTGTCACCGTTAGCTCAGTGGCTGCATCACGTTTGGGTCACTGATTCAATTTATTCGAACTGGGAATTTATCTAACAAGCAGTTTCTTTGGTGTTTTTTACTCACTGTGGGGTCATTTTTCTCTGCAATGTAAAGTCTTGCGCCTCTATGGAAACAGCACAACTGTGGCTAGAAGTAGACAGAACTCAGAAATGTCTATTGTGCAGTATACCACAAAAAAAGAGCAATTTCGTTTCTTATTTGTTTAAAACATTCTTTTTAGAAAGTTGATTCAACAACGTATTTCCAAATGCCCTGTGGTGTTACAAATGTGGGGAGAAAAAAAGTGACTCTACGTGCGGCCCGCATTTTATGACTTATTCTTAAACTTTATTTCCACACTTGTCATCTATCTGCTCTGTGTAAGCATAGCCTGCAATTTAGCCTAGTTCAGCAACAAATGGCAGAACTTTTGTCACATCACTGTTGGTCACAGCTGAGTCAGGAATGGCTTTTTAGTTGCACTGATTAGAGCAAAATTGTTTGTTTTTTTACAAAATCCTGTTAATGCAAACAGTTCATTTTTTTTGGTGATTTTTAAAAATTGAGATATGTGGAATAAATCTGTAATTTTTGATGAAATATTATTTGAAGCATAGGTTTGGTTAAGTTGTCTGACAAAACGGCAGGTGAGAGGTGAGTATTTTGAGGACTGTTAGAAAGCTGAAATTTCAGAAATTCTTGTCTGTTTTACAAAGTTTCTGGTTTTGATAAATGAGACAATTTGGGCAATTTCTTAAAAGATAAGATGCCTGATAAACCTACTGGTGGATGTTTGGGTTCAGAGGGTGAACAAAATCTGTTTTACAAAATCAGCAATATGAAATATGGGTGAACTTGGATTATAAAAACACCATTTTCATCGCAAACACTCTCATGTTGTTTCTTTGAGGGACTTTGGCACATCAATCGCAGTTCTTTTGCCTCCACTTTGCTGTTATTGGACGGATAGTCTGAACTGTCCTTGCCTCTGGGGGATTTGTAAACTGTGGTGAACAGTCCTCTTGCAGCAAGACACGGAGCAATTTTCGGATTTGCAGGGATGTAAAAGCTGGGTGAAAAATCATATCTGCTCCGTTAAAAAAATGTTTTTATAAAACAGGAATTGGCAGACCTAAAGGATGTTAGAGGAGACTGCATTGAGAGGTAGCAGATGACTTTGTTTATCAGAGTAGGAAGACAGACCTTTAAGCACAGTGTATTAAATAAACTCCAGTGCATTGAGTCTCTGCACTGAATACTGGCTAAACACACTCGAGAGGTCGTCTTGAGTCTGTCAGCAGCAAGGATCTGCAGTTGACTTTTTCCACATGATGCCTCTGCTGCTGTCACTGCTGTCAATCACGCCGTCGCTCTGCTCCAGCCCTGTGGCAGCCTGTTAACGGATATCAGAGACCTCACCATGTATCAACATTAGACGCAATAACAAACCCTCCTCTCTCTGTCTCTGTCTTTTGTTTCTCTGTGCCTCAGCTCGCTCGCCGGTGTTCAGTGCCATGTTTGAGCATGAGATGGAAGAGAGTAAGAAGGTGAGTTGACTTGACTCTGTTGTTCCCGCTCCCTCTGTGGCGACCAGAATGTCTAAATTCCAATCTTTCTTTCTGTTGCATCAGGAAGTGTTCACCCCTTCAAACATCCGAGTGTGACTGCACATGTTCCTTCATGTTTTGTTGACTGCAACTCTATTATCTGGTGCCATTAAGGCTGTTATTTGTAGAATTCTTTATGTGATTATAGTAGCTTTGTCTTTTTTTTTATTCAGAACACAAAAGGTGTTGTTTCTGGATGAAATGAGACGATTTGAGTGAAAATTAATGCAGTCTGTTGCCTCAAACAAAATCATCTCACTGTTTCCACAATAAAATTGGGATGGGAGAAGGGAATTGGTTTGACTTAGTATCTTTTTCTAAATGATAAACATGTCTTTGGCATTTCTGTATTGCAGTTCGCTGTTAGGGCCTGGCCTCAGCATAAAAAAGAAGCTTTTACAGACAGTTATAAGGCAGGAGCCAATGTTACAAAGATGTCTTTTTCAAAACCTGTTTGACCTTGTGGTCCTGTTTGCACTTGAGATAATGCAGAGCTTTTCACCTCTCCCTTAACTTCCTGCTGAATAAAATAATGCTTCCCGTCATAGGATGCTTTTGGGTTGTGCAAATTAGCAGTCTCACCATGAATTCACAACAGCTGCTTTTCAACAAATATCCAACCCCTGCTTCACCTTCTTACAGATGTGCAAATGTTGTTTGCACTTGATTGGACAAACGCTTTACTCGGAGGCTGCCTGCTCTTGATTTTCAAACTGGACCAACACGACACCCCGTTTGCAAACTTTCTCACGTAGGACGAAAGCAGTCCACCAAACTCTGAAAACATTTGAAATGAGTCTAACTTCATTTTAGCACAGTAACAATTAGTTTGAGAGTTTTTCGGAAGTTTCCAAAGGTGGATGATCACGCTCAGTGTTCCTTACTTGCATAAAGTAGCCTAGACTTCAACTTCCTGCAAATTGGGAGTGGGCAACGTGACGCCCTGTCTTTGGAAATGCATCACAACGCTATCAGAATGCAATGCATGGCTGCTCACATAGGCAGCACAGAGAAAGCATTAATGTGACAGATCCTGTGGACATGTACTATAAGACTCTGTTCAAACAATGACCCTTTAATTTTATTTTAATTTTGATGAAGTGAAAGAAGTCACAGGTAAGCAAATCTGGTGAGTAGGGTTTTGCCTTAATAGTCCAATCCAAGGTGCTGAATTCACGAAGTACAACCACATGAGTGTTAAAGAAAACAACAAACATGTCTTTGGTACACCCCTGACCCTATTCATCTTGTGTGATCAGTGCCTCTACTGTGAAAACAACTTGGTGGTGTTAGCCGCAGACCTACCTCTAGTCACCTGTGATGATCCTGCACATGAAGATTAGCTTGTCACGGCTGCAAACTGACACAAAACGTAATGTTTTCTTGACCAGCTTGCAGTCCATGGAGAAACTGTGCAGTGGTCACAAAAAACATGGGTAACACACGTACAAATGGGGATAATGTCATCATACATCCTGACTCATGGCGGTTACTGCTTACACACCAGGAACAGTCTCTTTTTGCTCATCCCTATACAGAAAGCTTAGGAAGCCACATATTTCTGTGATTCTTTTTTTGCAAAAATGAGTTTCACTGTGCGTCTTTCTGATGTCACGCCTTCACTTACTGGCAAACAGTCAGTGTGTTTTCCAACACGAACACTGGCTGACATTTTTCAGTCTTGCCCTTTTCTAAATGGTAGATGATCTGCACTTGTGGAACACCTTTTGAACCTTAGCTAGATTTTACAAAGGGCTCTACAATGGGTTTCTTATTCATTTAGTCGCACACGCACATACACACACACACCAACACACACACACACCAGTGACCATGGAGCTGCCATGCAAGGTGCTGGCCTGCAGTCAGGAGCAACTCAGTGTCCATTGTCTTGCCCAAGGACACTTGCATCCACCAACCTTGCGATGAGAGGACAAACCACCTGAGCCACGGCTGTCCCCCAAGCTCCACAATGCAGCCTGAAAATATACAGTATTGCAAAAACATGTTACACATTTAAAGTAAAACAAAAAACAAATAATTCTCTGCTGCCACAAAATGGTTAATTTTTGCTTTATGTCAAGTTTAAAAGAGAAGTGGATAAAACAATATGCAAAGCATTTCATCCACCGTGTGTGCTTTTCTTTACTTAACATAACTGAGTTCGCTGCTCGGGAATTAATATGGTGTACAGACAGAATGTGAGGCAAAACACCTTTATTAGGTTGCCTTGTTTTGCCCCCAGTAACTATATTTATTCATAAATATGCTGATTTTAGGTGATTAAATTTCTAATTTCAGTGTCACGTACTGTAGCGTAGTAGCTTAAATTAAGCTCTCTGAAACCTGCATTTATGTTAATTTTATTTGCCCTGAGTGTGGTTAGTATAGACATAGATGCATTAAATGGAAGTTTATGTTTGGCACTGAGTGTATGTATGCGTATTTAAACGATATATGCAGTGTTATTGCTTTCCTTTATGTGTCCATTGAGGTGTTTGTGTCTGTCTTGGTATTACTCATATTGTTAGGACATAAATCTTGGTTTAAGATTAGGATATGGCTTAGTGTTATGCAAGTAGTGATTGTGCTTAGGATGAGTGTCCAGTAAATTAATGTAAATAAATTTAATGTCCTCTGAAGGTTGGAAACAAAACAGTGCGTGGTACATGTGATGCAAAGGGACCGTGCCACAGTCGGTTGTGTTCACCAGATAGGAGGTGGTGAGATTGAACCGGGGTGATTTAGCCGTCATGTCAGCGGAATATTGATGCCTGCACGGCTCAAATGGGGAAATTATAAAGCACAGAGCCAGGAAATGCATCTTAATTGCTGTTTAAGTGGGCGTCTTCATCAGAAAGAGGGAGAGATGGTGGGCCACGTCCCCATACGATTCAGAGAAAACAGATAGATGGGTTAACCCTCCTCTGCAGCACTCTATAGAGGAGAGACAAATGAGCTCATAAAGAAACACTCTAATAGAGGACTGCTCTGTGAATAGAGGCGAGCTTCAGACACTGTAACTACAGGAGTGGTGTCTGTTTGTGAGACAGTGTTGAAAGCTGCTGTCGCATTACGGAGGAAATTCCTGTAAATTTTTCAAGTGTAACTTCCAGAATGGTTGTGTTAGGGTAGTTTTTTAATTTAATTAATACTCCAACACACCTCAAAAATTAGCAGGATAAAACTAGTTCACCCCTCACGCCACCCTTTAACTGTGATTAGCAATAAAAGTAAGAAAATGCAAGATGTGAAATGTGTCATTACTTCATACCTTTTGCACTCATGCAGCATCCTATCGTCACACTACCTCTGTACTTCACCGTCAGGACGATGCATTCACTGTGCTCGTCCTGGCCAGTTTCAATATGGTGGACCTCATTATAGGTGAACAAATGTGTCTTGGTCTTACTTGATGAAAGATTGTGCTCCCAGTATTTCTCACGCTTTTTGTCATGTCCTTAGCAACGTTTCATAGAAAGCAAGGTTGTTTTGTTTTTTTCTTGGGGCTGTCACAAAAACTCAGATTTCCATTGATAACCCCCGTGCCAAGTCTGAAACACTTACAGCCTGTATTTCAGAGCAAGATTGTGCAAATAACACACTGTCTGTGGCATCAATGCAGAAGGACGACACTGCAGCTCTGATTAATGGTACCATGGCTCGTTCTATACCCCCTGCTGTTTGACTTCTCCTACAGGATGCTTCTTCAGGTGACTGATGGCAGGTCCCAGATATATATGGTGACCCCCAACTCAAACGACATATGGCCCATTAGGAACTGAAAGTTCGCTTAGCTTGGGATGTGAATGGTTGTAAAACTGCCAGGTCAGGGAGGGCCCAAGATGGTAATGGTGGTGAAACATTCTGGGGATCTCAAGACTGCATTATAAGGACCTGTTAACGGTTCCAGTTTGACATCCTTGACATGCAGCTAAACAGCTGAGTCTTCTCCAGTTGTCTTCCACTGAAGCTCCTAGCATTAACATGACCTGGATGCTGTAGAAATATGTCATTTTACAGCCATGTTCATACGATTGACCAAATTGGAAATGACAGACGTACTCAAATTTGTTCGCTTGTTGCTTCAAGTTTCTACTTTGAGGCCTGTATTTTCATTATAGTCTTTATAAAGCATTTGTTTTTGATTGTTCATGAGAGGACGTACTATACCTGACAACGCAGAAATAATGCCGCCACTTCGAGCTGGTACAATTTTGAATCCTTTAGCATTTAAGCGATATTGTGTACTGTAGATTCTAGTATGTACATAATGTAGAGGGTTATTTGTTTCACCTGTTAAAGCTGCATGTGTTGTGCCTTCTTGTGTTTATGTGTGTTATCTGCCTTCCCGTAAAAGGCCACTATAGCAGACTGTGTTCTGTAAAGCTCAGACCAGCTGCTTTCAGACTCTGCCTCGATTATTTCTCGGTGTGATTATGTTGCTGTTGAGTGGTCAGAGTTGACACAAACGCACTAAGCTGTTGGTACACCCAGTCTGACCCTGCTAAAACGCCGCTGGTCACCGTGGTGACGATAAAGCACTGTTATAATTGGTTTATTGCTTTGTTCTTCCTCTCAGTGCGGAGAGAAAGGTTCAGGTTACGGTGCCAGGGAGCGATAAAGCCTACTTTGGTGGCTGCAGGCACCGTCAAGGAATGAATGCTCGGGATTAATTTTCAGGAATCAGCTGAAAAGAATTAAATTTATGTACTAGAATGTAGTTTTGCCGAAACGTGTTCAGACTGTTCAGAGGGTTTTTATTTCATTATTTGGAGCTTGTTTTGTATCACTGCATGGCTGACTGTCCCTGTGTGTGTGCTAAACAAGGTGAGTGAGTTTAATTCAGGTAGGTTTTTGGGATATTCACATGAAGTGAAAAAAACACTCTGCTGCTGCGCGTAGTTCTGAAGGATTGTCAAAGCGTTCGTCTTTTTCTTCTCTCGCCTTTTATTCGGTTAAACCCTGTGTGTATTCTCCTCTCCTGTCCTCTCCACCCGTTCAGAATCGTGTGGAGATAAATGACGTGGAGCCAGATGTCTTCAAAGAGATGATGTGCTTCATCTACACAGGCAAGGCCCCCAACCTGGACAAGATGGCTGATGACCTGCTGGCTGCAGCTGACAAGGTACACAGAGAGTGTGTGTGCCCGCACCTGTTACTATGTACATTTACACACAAGCTGATATGCACGATAATGTACCCACAAATACACCTGAGAAGCGCCAAATGCTCCTCAACACACGTACAAACTTGTACAGTCACATCAAGGCATACTTTTATAGCAAAACATAAACCGACCCCACTGTGGGAGGTATAGACATGCTCACACTTACAATGAATCCTGTTCCTCGTTGTTTGTTCCTTCATATTTACGGTTTCCTCTCTGTCGGTCTAAAATTGCATCTAATTCATTCTGCCTTGTTTTTTCTTCGAGTTTTGCCACTTATTGAAGCGCTTTACCTGTATTTTGTTTTTTTTTTTACTTACGGCTCACAGTAGGTACATGCTGTTGTGTTCTGACTACAGTTATTTTCTATTCTAATGCTTCTTCTCAAAGATCTTTCTTACTGTAGCTGTATCTGCTTAGCTGAAAAAAATGAAGTCTACAACCATAAAATTCTATTTATTATGCAAATGTGCCTAACAAGTTTAAAAATGAAGGCTAGGTACATACAATATATTTTATTTTACTCTGCTAATTTAAATATTAAGATTAAGATCCTACAGTATTATATATAAATATATATGTTTTACCTTCGCCTGCTCTTGTTTCAGTTGATTCATTTGTTTTTGAATTATATCCATGATACTTAAATGTTCTAATTCATGTTTTTATTAGTCTACTAACTTGTATTGTTGTCTGTTTAGTTTTTTTGCCTGTACATCTTTTATTTTTGTACTTCTCTACATTTTAAATGAGGCCTCCATACCGTCAATGTACTGCCATTTTTCAATAAAGGTTAAATGAATGAATAATACGAAATTACCAGACTAACTTAGACGATGCAATGTTTATTTGGTCTGCCACTTGCTTGATCAGATTTAAATATCTCTTTAACTGTTAAATATTTTTCTTTGAAATTCACTAATAACTTTCATTTATTATTATTATTATTTTTTATCTTGTACCATCAGAAGGTCAGATTTTTCCCCTAACTAGTGAAATATCTCAAGCTACTGGATAAACTTGCACAAACTTGCAGATATTCTTGGTCCCCTTACAATATAACTCAAACACTTTTGTAGTCCCCTTTTGTTTCTGTTTTCTTAAACAAAAATGCTTTGATGGATTTTCCTGTACTTGGATAAATTGTAATGAATTTCATGATTTCATTTCGACTATTTGGACAAAATTGTCATTTGTCTACAATACCAGCCTCAACTTTGTGTTTCACACAAATTAGGAAATACTAGCCTGCTACCATGCTAAACTAAGATGGTAAACAAGCATCATATTAGCTAAATATCAGCCTCACAGAGCTGCTAGCAGGACACTAAACTCCTCTTAAGCCCTTTTCAGACACAGTAACATTGCTGCTTCATCAATCTGCTGAAGTGACAACATTCTATCATTCAGACGTAGATGTTATGTCGTTATGTTATGTTACATTTGTCATGGCTTCATTCAGATCAGCCCACCACAGTAACACAGAGAGCCACACTGGACAGTACATCCAGGGATGTATAATACATAGTGATGTACTAATAAACAAAAAACCAAATCTAAACTAACAGCAAGCTCAACAAACCGTCCAAAATATGAATAGTCGACATTATTTATGATTTCCTAAACTCTGAAAATTCTGTCCGCATGTGATGATAATCTTTATCAGTGGTAAAACAAAAAATATCCTGATAGCTGGTGGCTATATAACAAGTGATTTAAGTGCAGCTGATGAACAGTGACTGATGTGAAGAAAAGTCCACAGTGTCATCGTATATGATGAAATGTGTGAATGTGGAGATGCTCATATGGAGCCTGCTGCTGTTTGATGCTGCGATTATCAAATAAACTCAGAGGAAAGAATTAACAAACTAAACTTCATCTCCTGTTGATGTTTTGTCAAAACTAAGATTGCATTTGTCATCATGTCTCATTAATCTGTTACAGTCTGCCTTCATCATCAAAACGTTTGGAGGACATTACAGTGTGTAACAGATCTGAAGTTGTAGAGCAAAGTGAACAAACACAAAGGTGTTTTCTGATTTTGGCAGCAAACTGTCTTTTGCTTTCCATGATATTTTTGGATCAGTGATGGTACTAAAAAGTGAAGAAAAATCTCTTCATACACTTCAAAGCATGTTGTGATCTTGTGCGTGTCTGTCTGTTCATGCAGTTCATACTTTAGCTGCATTAAAGTTGATATGGAAATGCTCGGTACGAACCAGTAAGATTTTACAGGAAGGTGATCAGGGTGCTCATTCACGAAGCAGACACGTTCACATGCCGTCAGCTTTCGTGTGTTTACTGCAATAATCCTACCAAACAGTTGAAAACATTTCACTGGTTTTAATATTGCGACTTGTCTCTGAGAGAAATGAGATATTTCCTCACTTTGCTTCCTTTTTGTGTGAAGTGCAAACTCACAGCTTTCCACTTTGCTTAAAACAGTATTTAAATCTTTGTCGCAGAAAACACTTTGCTTTGCTTCCTCGTCATATGTAAGATGTGTCTTAAATGTCCTCGGGCGAGTCTTGTTTTGTGTAGGTTCATTTACATCATTGTTAGTATACTGTGCTGATGTAAAATCCCCTGTAGTGTAGCCGAAGTGTGTGTGTGTGCATATGAGAGCAGGTTATTGTACCTAGCAATTTTGTAATCAAACTCAGTGGAATTTTTTTTTTCTTTCTACCTCTCCTATAATCCCCTATCCCATCCTCATTCCCTCCTCAGTCTGCATAACTGTCACCTTACCTTCCCTTCGCCATATTTTTTCTTATTCAATTTAAACCTCGTCGCCGCCGCGGTGGAGTAATTCTGTGTTTCCGTATCATTACACAGTGCGGCAACAGTTGTTGGTGGCAGCGCTGTTTAAGTAATTTAGTTTACCTGCTGTTTCTCCTCTCTCTCTCTGTCGTCGGCAGTATGCTCTGGAGAGGCTGAAGGTGATGTGCGAGGACGCTCTGTGCACGGGTCTGTCTGTGGAGAACGCCGCCGAGATCCTTATCCTCGCCGACCTTCACAGCGCCGACCAGCTCAAGACGCAGGCCGTGGACTTCATCAACTAGTGAGCTTACGCCGAGATCATCCATCTCCAGAGCTACCTCCACACTTATATGCAAACATCGCTTCGCTCGCACACGCACACACTCATTCGTTCAGCTTTTCGTCAAAGGAAGTCATTAATTTTCAGTGGGAGCAATTTTTGTCTCCCGAGGAAATTTAATTTAATCCCCAGATCAGACAATTTTGCTGCCATATCATATTGGTCCATTTAGCAATAAACCTCAGCTGCTGATGTTAATCATGTTGCAGGCAGCCTGTTTAGGTAAGATGGGGCCTATTAGCATCAATGACTGCTATTTATGTCCATGGAGAGGTGATTGATCCGGTCTTTGAATGTTCGCTTGAAACAAAAAGCTTTCTCTCAGTCGCTACCTAAATTGCTCATCACCTTCCCTGTGTTTTCTGAATTCTCTGTCTCGCAGCCAGGCACATTTTCCGTGCCTTTGTTCATTCCTCTGTCCTCTCTTTGCAGCTTTTCTCCATCTCCTGGCCTTGTTCCTGCCTGGGCTCCGTCTCACTCCCTTCTTTGCACTCGCTCCCGTCTTCCCTCCCTTTTTTTTCCCCTCCCCTTTCTCTCTCTCTCTCTCTCCTGTTCTGTGCTTAAGAGCTCATGTGTGCCTAAAGGTGTTCAGTAATGCAGATTTCTGCCCCTAATCCCAGTCATTAATTGTGGTTATGGGCGTTATGACAGTTTAATTTGCGACAGCGTTGTTGTGGTGGTGGGAAAATTGGCCACAGGGGACTCCTGGCCAGCAAAGCGTTATCAACCCTCCTCCTGCGGACACAATCGACAGCAACAAGAGCAGCAAAACAAAAATCAATTTGGAGGACGAATATCGAAAGCAGACGACACGGAGGAACCAATAATCCTTCCCTCAGTAGCACCTTAACCTCTCTCCAGACCGGTCTTTACAAGCAGCTTACGGTCATTTAGTCGAGACAATAGGAGTCCTCTTTCTCCTACTTCTGTCTCATTTATTCATCCTCTCCAGGGATGGAGCAGAGAGCAAAGCCACCCAAACTATCTTTATCCACTTTGTTTATAGAAAAGAGCTTAGTCACTTTTTTTATTTAGCCCAACATGAATCTTTAGGCCAGACTAAATACATAAAATAAATCTATGTTGGTAATGCATTTGCAACATGAAATATAATTTTCAAGGCGGCCAGGGGAGCAGGGTTTTGTTCATAACAGTAATGATTAAGGCTGCAGGATATACCGTTTCAGCATTGACACTGGAATGTCTCATCACAAGATGTGCAATAGGAAGTTAAATGAAGTCAAACACATCATGCTTCAACTTTTTTGCTGCTTGATTCGAAAAGAAAACTGGCACAGTTCTCATTCCCCATGTCTAATCTACAAGAAAAGTCTGATAGAACATCATTTACTCTGGTTTAGGGCTTCTTCTTTTTTAACTTGTTGACATGCAGGTTCTACGTGTGCAAAGCAAAATGAGCAAGAAGTAGGAAAGAAACACTGAAAAGGCTAATGTGGTGGCAAAAAAACATGCACATCATCAGTTGGAGGGCGGCACAAATAATCAATGTATTAATCAGGATTCTGATTTTGGCTTTGAACATGATCAATTGCAGTACTGACGTTTAAAATGCTCTGATTACTGAGAACAGCACATGTCGGTAAAATCTGTTGGGTTCATTTTGGGTACATCTGACATTACAATGGCTTACTGCATTATTATAAAGTAACTTTTGGTGACACCAGTCTGAGCTCTTTCGTACTATTTTGCCTCAAGGAGATGCACAGAATTCAGGTGAATGTTATTTTGACGTCTTATTTGGATTCAGATTTGTACATTAGCAGGAAAGTCGCATAACAGGGAACAATTGAAAAAAAAAACGTTGAATATTGTGATAAATGGACTGAAAGGCGGCTCGGTGATTAGCACTGTTGCCTCGCAGCTAGAGGTCGCTGGTTCGCGTCCCGTTGAGGACACCCGGGATCGTTCTGCGTGGTGTTTGCATGTTCTCCTCGTGTAGCTCCAGGTTCTCTGGCTTCCTCCCACAGTTGAAAAACATGTTGAGGTTAACTGGTGATTCTAAATTGTCCGTAGGTGTGAATGTGAGTGTGCTTGGTTGTCTGTCTCTAAGTGTAGCCCTGTGATAGACTGGTGACCTGTCCAGGGTGTCCCCTGCCTTCACCCTAAGTCAGCTGGGATAGACTCCAGCCCCCTGTGGCCCTAGTGAGGACTAAGCGGTGTAAAGATAATGGATGGATGGATATTGTGATAAATAATTGTGATCTCAATACTGATCAAAATAATCAGATTTTGTGTCTGTAATTATGCAGTTCTGGTCAGTTTGGTGAAAATATTTCAGCTTTGGAAAGGTTGATGTTGACTAAAAACAGGTTCTGTGTCACCAGCGTCTTACAGTTGTTACCATTACATGAGGAAACGCAGTGAATTTGTCATTTAAATCAGCACCACAAAGCTCTGTGTGAGGAGCCCGATCTGAATGTCATCCAAAGCAAAACAGTATTTTGGCTGTCTTTGCCAGTGAGAAAGGTTTATACAGGCTTGTAGTCTTCACAGTAAAATGTCATTCTTTAGCTTTTTTAATAATATTTTAAATTTTCCTTGCAGATGCTCTAATACAAAATCAGTCATTGCAGAATAATCAATTCTTTCCAAGTCGTGTTATTCAGGTTATCTGGGGAAAATTTCTGCATTTCTTAAAACATAGCAATGTGTTTTTTTTTCCCAATATCGTGCAGCTGTCTACTGATTAGCACTCATTGGAGGTCATAGTTTAATTTACCGTCACATCCCAGCTCGACTCGCTCCGTCAGGCCTCTCAGCCTCTGTGGACTTCACTCCGTCACCTCCCTGTTTATTTATTTGTCACCGCCGCTGTCTTATTCTGCTCTCCATCGGTCCGTCCCTCCTCCTTCCTCTCCTGCTGTGGCTGCTCTCCTCGTGCCCTTTCGCTGGCCTGTTGTCTCAGCTTCAGCATACTGGCCATTACTGCGAGCAGGGGTTCACTTCCTCCACAGAGAATAGAGTCAGAGGTTAGCTGGAGGTCTGGAGCTGCTGTGTGGACAGCATATGACCACGTCTACACAACGCAGCGCCGAGAGCAAGACATAAACGCGTGCGAACACACACGGGCGCGCACGCCGTTGTTTATTTACACGCAATAAAACATGAAAAATGTCATTAAAGGCCACGCAGCGGTGTGCGTGATAGAGCAGCCCGGTGCCCCGAGGGTGTCAGGAGGGTGAAGACCGCCACGGGGCCTGCTGCTATAAGCTCACATATGTGGGCAGATGATGACCAAAAGTAAACTCACTATCAGTTAATTATCAAACCCGTCCACACACACACCCACACACAACGCAGGGAGGTCAGAATATGTCAAAAAACCAGCCCTGACTCCCAAAAATGACCTTCCCAAACAACTAAACTGCATTCTTGGCTATGTTTTGAGGGACTTGTGACGAATACGTTTTAAATCCACGTATCTTGTTCTATTGCTTTACTGTCGCTCCCTCTCAGCCAGCCACTTGTACAATAGACAGAGCTGCAGCACTTAATCAATTGAACGGCTTGATGTCAACTACTAAATTAATCACTAACTATTTTAATAATCAGCCAGATTCTTGGGTTACAGCTTCCTATTGTCTGGCTTTTTTCCTTCCATTATGACAGTAAATGGAATATCTTTGTGGTTCTCTAAAGAGTATTAATGATTTCTTGCAGTCAAACAAAACAAAGATATTCTGTTTTCTTTAGCCCTTTTTAACCTCTACCTAAGCAGGAAAAGGCTCATTGAGATTCAGAATCTCTTTTATACGAGCCTCCTGGCACAGACATGATGTACAGACATTAAACTGTTTAAATAAGGCTTACATAAAGCATTTACATAAAGTTTACCATCATGAAAGACATATAAGCATTAACAACTAGGTGATGTTTGTCTTCTTTGTTTGACTTCGAGAATTAAACTGACGGTCAAAATAGTTTTGTCGATCGACTGATTAATCGATTAATTATTCCAGATATGACATTACATGTCAAATCTATGACTCACAGACTTTTCCTCGGATGCCCACATATTTATGATACTTCAGTGTTGCCTTTTATTTGTATGATGTTATTTATCTCCAAAATGACCTGCGGGGTTAAATATTTAAAAATATAAAGTAAATAACAGCTCGGCCAGCTGGTATGACAAATCCTTAATGTCTCAGAGCTGCGCTCTACACAGATGGAGTCCTATAATCCCAAACTCTCGAAAAACTGCCTTATTTGTGTACTTGTGTAGTTTAGTTTCTTCTCTAAACTACTTTATGTTTCCTCTCCTCCTCTCTCAGTCATGCAGCTGATGTGATGGAGACGTCCGGCTGGAAGTCCATGGTGAACTCTCACCCTCACCTGGTGGCCGAGGCCTACCACTCCCTGGCCTCGGCCCAGTGTCCCTTCCTGGGTCCCCCGAGAAAACGTCTGAAACAGTCCTAGAGGTCGGGAGCGACTCTGCTGTCCGAACCCTGCTGCGTCCTCCTGAACCGGCGACCTCACTGCTCCTCCCTCACAGTCCTCCTTTTGCTCCCATAGAGACGCCTGAGACTGACACCCGGGGCTTGGCTAGATGAAGCTGGGGGAGCTGCTCAGCTGGGCAGAGCAGAGAACCACAGGACTGGAGCCACAGAGGAGGTACCACACATCTCTGTAGGTAGGGATTCTATAAAGTCTGATCCCAGATATTGATGGATTGGAAGCCAAAAGCCTTGACTATTCAGTATCCTAGAACCTCATTCTGAGAGACAGTTAGATAAAGAACTGATCTTCTGGCTTGAAAAGTCAGTGCTGAGTCCCTGACAGATGCTGTTTTGTGGCATTTATATTGCCTTGTACAGTGTTAAAGCCCAAACTGCGCTTGTGAAAGGACACGTGAAGAGGATCAACCAGCCAGAAAGTGAGAGACTATTGTTCCCATTGTTGATGATTTAAATAGTGTTTGTTCAATGTCTTGTTTTTCTAGGCCACAAACAATTCTCTTGAATGAAAGAAGACAAATCTGAACACGTTTTAATGTTCACTGTTTAGCCTGTGTCTTAGAGCCGGGCAGACACTGTGTGGATTTGGCCCCATTTTAGCCCCAAACTTGACTAATTTTAGAGTCGGGAGGAATTTCTGCAGCTTGAGTTGCAGTTACAGTGTTTGAATAATCAAATGAATGATCAACAGTCTGTCTCTCTGGATCTCTGGCATGCTATATGTTTTGGTTGGCATAAATGCTGCTAAAAGAACAGCTGTAACCTGTCACAGGCTTGTTTTAATATTGTTGGAGCAGTATTTTACATGTTGTCATGTAATTTGATCAAACCTCACAATCTGGATCCTCCCAGTTATCTGCAGCTCCATATTTTTTTCTTCTTTTTTTTGTCCTTTTCATTTATAGTAGAACTTCATAAAATACTGCTGACGTTCTCTTTTTTCTCAACACTGAAACAGCCACAACATTAAAACCACTGACAGGTGATGTGAATAGCACTGATCCAAACCCTGCTGGGAAACATGTAGAGTACATGGATGTAACTTGAACAGGTATCATCCAGTTAATGCTCCTGAAGAACCCCCGCAAGAAAAGTGATCACACAAGGATGTAAAAGTACATTTGTAAGATTTTAAGATATATATCATTTACATCTGTGATTAAATTAATATTATGTACTTTGTTTTTATAGACATCAGAAAAAAAAAAAAAGTTTACCTTAGCCTTCTGAACCCCAAGTAGTTTCTTCTTGTTTCTGTCACATTTTCACTGTGGGCTCATTTTAACTGCAGTATGAAGTCCTGCACCTCTATGGAAACATCACGATGGACAGAACTTAGAAATATCTTCTGTGCATTGTGACACAATTATATTACGAAAAACCTTTAAAAAGAAAGAAAGAAAGAAGAAAAAAAAAGCCTAAGGTAAATTTTTAAAAATAATTTATTTTACCAAAATGTTGAAAAAAACTGGAATTAGTGCCCACAAGTGTTACCAACACTAGAAAAAATATACTCTACATACTGTAGATATTTTATGTGTTACATTTTTAGTTAGTTTTAATATTGGTCTCCTCTCTGCTCTGTGTAAACACAACCTGCAGTTCAGCTGAAAACTCCCAGAATGTTTGTCAAGTGACTGTTGGTCACAGCTGAATCACTGACGGCTTCACAGTTGCACAAAGGAGTGCAGAATCTTTTTTTTTTGTTTTTTACAGAATTAAGTTAGTGCAACTGGTTTACTTTTGGCCCTCAGACATGTACAATAAAGTGATTCTGACTGTTAGATTTGATCAGTTTTTCCGAAGGAACGGCACGTCGCCCATGATTAGTTTGACAAAAGTTGAAAGTCAGACACTAATTTGTTTTGACAGTGTGTAGCTATGATACATTGTTATTTATTTTCCCATTTTTTTTAAAGATACATGCTGGTGTTGTGGTATAACGTGCAGAACACCCATATCATGTGTGGCTCAGAGCTGTTTTGGCACCAGAACTGGGACTGAGACAATATGAAGGAGGTGGTTTTAATGTTGTGGCTGATTCGACTATAGTTTGTGGTTGTCTTGTTTATGTGAACTTTACTTGAAGTGTCACAAGACAAAATGAGCTCAACTGAGCTCCCACATCATAACTGATCAGTTGGTTTATACAATCTAAACACAAAAATGGCAGAAAATGGGAGGCTGAACAACAACACAGAAAATGAATGACAAAGCAGTGTCTGCCCAGCTTAACAACATACAACTTTTTACCTTGGCCTGTTAACCTCAGTGCTTTCCCTGCGACTGAAGCAATGTCTGCCCTCTAAACCTGTAAAATACATATATTTTGAATTTTCTCCTGCATGTTAGTGTCTTTTTTGTCCTTGAAATCTTCATTATTTCTCATTATGCAGTTTGGCCACATCTACCAGTGACTGACTCATTAATGCACAGCTTCTAGCAACTTGCTGCCAGATCGCTGTGGCTGAGTAATACATTTCAGTTTCAAACTTAATCCTGTTGTGATCAAAGTTCAATCCCCGTGTGCACGCGCCGTCGACCTCGTCTGATCACGGCGGCTAATATCCAGCTGTGTCGCGTGGAGACTCGGCTCTCGCTCTCGGTCGCAGGCCTGTTTGACTTGGTCTCTGTAGCGTTGCTTAGAGAACGGATAGGTTGTAATCACTTCAGAGAGAGTTGGACCTTTCTCTTGGACCGTATTTTAACAGGGATTTCTCTGTGTTGACCAAAGTCGAGGCCCAGCGGGCTTTGAGGAAGCTCATCCCTGAGCCCTGCAAATCACTCCTCATCAAACAGTCAGCCCTGGCCACAGATCTTTGGGGATATTCTGCCATTGTCCTGCCGTTCATCAAACACAGGGAAGGCCATTATTTGTGATACAGAGAGTATGCTGTAGCTGCATGACACAGCGCGTGTTAGTCGAGCTGATGATTCAATTAAATCAGTTATCTTTGCTGAACAGCGTCAGTATGTGCTGGTTGTGGAGTAATTGACGGAACAGTGAGAATGTTTTTCTTGAACATATATTTTTAGGGAGAATGTTCTGCCTTTATTAGAGGAGAAAAATGAGAAAAGAGGGATCTGTTCCAGTCATTCAGGAATGAATGTGGGATTTTGCGACTCATTTTGTAGCTTGTTTACTGAAGATTTTAATATAATTATCTGTCATTAAGGGAAAATAGCATAATAGCCCTACATTCAGCAGACTTTGTATATTTTATTATATGCCTGAACCAACATGTACACACTGAAACTGCAATTTTCTGAACATTTTCTTTACAGATTTTTTTTTTAGGAATTTTTGAAATAGATGAAAATATCAATGAAATTACAAACATACACTGTGAATATTCACATCTAATATAAAATAACATTAAACTGTAACTGTACATAACCACAAAATGTACTTACTTTAAAATAAGTGGAAAGTATTTGACATTAAAAGACTTGAAATACATTTGCATTGAAACATATATATAACATATATAAAGACTTTGATGTGAAAGGTTGTTGTGGTTGTCAACATAATGTAATATACACTCAGTGACAGATTATCATACACGAATAGAAACACAATCATTCAATGTTTTTGTTGTTAAAACTTCTGGATTCAACACTCAATAATATAAAACAATTAAACTATGCTATTAAAATTATACAACAAAATCTCTCATTTAATAATAATTTTTTTAAAAATCTATGTGATTTCCAGAACCTATACTTCTTTTTCTGTTATTTGTCACTAAATGCATCTAATTTTAGAAATATATTGACAGGATTAAACTTGAATTTAATTGTCATCTATTAGATAATCTGAAATTATGCTAAATATGTAAATGTATTTTAAGTCTTTTTATGTAAAAGAATTTCAGTTTTCTTAAACAATTTTAAATTTTATGCTTATTCACAGTTAAATGTTTGAGGTTTATTTTTACATTAGACATGTTAATTCATAGTCTACATTTGTAATGTTACATTTTTGTGTATTTTAGAAATGTGTCTAGAAAAAAAAAGTTTAAAATCAAAAGGAAAATTCCTGCAGTGACTAATTTTTCTCACAGTGAGTGAATGGACACACACACACAAATCATTTTTATGACTACATCATCACGCCAACTTGCTCGGTTCCCAAGGTCTAAGTCTTGTTCCGCTTTAAATTTGAGCATATTATCAGCGTGTTGTTGTGTGCCGTGTGTTAATGAGCTGCCAGATGGTTCAAAGACAATTGTCCATTATGACAGACAATAAAGTGACATTCTGTAGTTTGTCCCATTATAGTGACTGACATCACTAGTAGTAACACACATATGCTGAAGTATTTGCATATTTGGTGTTATTGATATGCACTGTATCACAATAGTGGAGTCAGTCTGGACAACACTATAAAGGAAAATGATTATATATATGAAAATATTAACATAAAATACACTATTTGAGTAATTTTCATCCAACTTGTTTGGTTGAAACCATGTGAAGCCCACTGCTGGAGAAACACAAGATAAAACTTTCATAACTTACCAGATATAGCTCAGAAAACAAAGTGATATAACGTGAAAAATGAAGTGACTAATTTAAAACAGCAACATATAAGTGCTACACATTGCTGAAGATATAAATAAGTAAGCTAACACAAGACGAGAATAGAAAAAGTAATAAGCAATACTGGCAATGAGTCTGAGTCAGTAAAAATATCACACACGATAAAGAAATGTTACACAGGAAGTTGGATTATTGCACCAGAAAAATGACATATTGCAAATTACAATGACAGCATGTACATAAAATCAGACTGAAGGCCAACCGTGAAGAACAAGATTCGGTAGTTTACTCTCTGTAATGCCCGGTGACCCTGACAACAAGCCTCCCAGCCTGCATTTCTGAGTTTGAGAATTTTTTGTGCTGTAAAGGTCAAAGAGTGTGTATGTGTGCATGTGTGCGAGTCCGAGCGAGTGTGTGAACATGGCAGGCATATGGTTCTCTCTGAGTGGGCACGCATGTCAGCACACTGCTTTTTTGGGAATGTCCCTGAGATAGGAAGAGGCTTTGTTAACTGGAGTCGGGCCTGTCAGTGTGACCTTCTTCATGTGAGCTGGAGTTTGAGGCATCAGGGTGTGATTTTTTATTTTTTTTTTCTAGCTTTGATAGTCAGCTTGGGTAGCAGCTTGCAGCCAACCTTCTGTGTCTTTGTAAAGATGTGTGTGTGTGTGTGTGTGTGTCTCCATTGGCCTTAGATGAGACAGTCAGGGGGAGATAGATGGAGTGATGCATGTGGAGAGGCGTACTCAGTTGTTATGCATGCTGTATGAGTCTGTCACTCCCCTCCCTCCTCCTCGGCTCCCCATCATTCACTCCTCCTTTTATGGGAGAAGGGAGAGCGAGGCGTGGCAGGTCAATGCTGTGAAAGTCTGTGACAAGCTCTGCATCTGTGTCAGCCCGCCATCGCTAAAGAGGAGGAAGAGCCGGGCCGAGATTGATGCCTGCTGGTGTGTTCGGCCCCGGACAGGAGGAAGGACAGCGGGGGAGGAGATGGGGGACGAGGGGGGAAGTCGAGGGAAGGGTCACGACGAGGGCTGGACGATGTATCGTTCCAGCGTTGTGATGTGCGCGATTTTACCCAAACATGTCATGTTAGAACTTCTTTCACTGCATGCTGAAAGAAAACTCGCATGGCTCTCATGTCCCATTGCTAATCTTAGATAAACTTTATTGATTCACAAGGGAAACACAAAATGAATAATTATATAAGAATATTTAAAACATAATTAAAAATAACAATTAAAAAATGTAAAAAAACAAGCAGAAAGATTCTAATCTTCACGAGAAGTCTGTGTGATAGGACATCATTTACTCTAAAATCAGGGTTCTTGCATACATTGCATTCGTTTTTCCAATTTCATTCACAACAGTTTGTTGACATTCAGGCTCCACGTGTGCACAGCAAAATGAGCAAAGAACAAATGTGACATGAGACACCTTATGTCACTCTTGTCAAAGCAACTGTTTGATCATTTTTGGCCTAAATGAGAGGAGCCCAGAAGCTTCTCTGCGCACATCTAACCGTAACCCTAGCGTCTGCATATGGGACATTTGGGTAACTCTGGTGAATTGTGTTGTATATCCATAAGCAGATGATCCTCTCGTGAGGTATTCTGGCTCCAATTTTATTTCTATTTTGCTTCTAGGCAATACTCAGAATT